CTGTTTTTGTAAACACCTGTATGGCCTTTCACACGTTTGAAATAATATAAACAATATCTATCACACTTTTGACTGCCTTTTTTTAATATACACAGTACTTGTACTTTTACTTATACTTGTACTTTCGATACTTGAGTAGCAAATTTTGAAATACTTCTACTTGCAATACTTAAGTACAAAAAAAAACGAGTGTTTCCATACTTCCACTTAAGTATGGAGTTGAAAGAATACTTCTACTTTTACTCAAGTCAGTTTTTTTACATAGTACTTGTACTTCTACTCCAGTACTTTATACATCTCTGCCTGTGTGTGTGTGTGTGTGCACCCAGAAGCAAATTATAAAACTCTGGGTTTCTTTAGGGCTCCAGAGGAGGAAGCTAATGTCTGAAATCAGCTTATACGGGAAAAAATAAAAGAATAATTACATATATATACATATTTCTCTGACTTACCTGCGTTGGGGATAATTTCTGGTTTGATAATCGCCAGATATTAAAACTTCCATGAGATTTTCTGAGCTCGATTTTGAGATAACGGCTATTCATTTGTACATTCAGATCTATATTTTTAAAGATTGTATTTTTCAGTTTTATAATTTCTGTTCTCTATTCTTTTTATTTCTACATTTTATTTCGTTCCTTGCTTCTCATTGAAGTGTTGTGCACCAAACTACTACTTGGCAATAAACCTTATTCGGATTCTGATTCTGATTTGATCATGTAAATTGTGATTATTATTGTGTTTTTTTAACTGAGGGTAGCATGGATTATATTTCCCGGCTTTTTAAAGGAGCAGTTTTCTGTTTATCACACCTCACGGCTTGTCTTTCAAACTAGATTTTGCTATATTTTGTTCCCTCTTTAATGTAGTTTAACTTCTGCTGAGGCAACAATGATTACTTCATATTTTTCTAGTGTCATTTTAATCCTGCTGAGGCCGACTGTGGATTTTGGAGAGGTTTCTGAAAGCAGGAACTCTTACTCTTTTGCCAAAACCCTCCAAAGCCAAATATCCGAGAGATAACTTCAATAAACTTTGGTCATCGAGCTGAAATCCACAAAAGCAGCTTTCCTTTCCAAAAACTCACCACCCGCTCCAAACTCCCGATTCCTAATTTCTATCTAGGGGAAATAATGGGAACCAGATGAGCCGGAGGAGGAGGAGGATGGCTGTTTATATATATATATATATTTATATACAGTGGGGGAAATAAGTATTTGACCCCTTGCTGATTTTGCAGGTTTGCCCACTTACAAAGAATGCAACGATCTATAACTTTAATCATATGTACATTCTAACAGTGAAAGACAGAATCCCGAAGAAAATTCCAGAAAATCACATCATATGAATTT